GATTGCTCTTAGGGAGAATGACCCCCAATCCACTCCTGATGACCTCCAAGTGTACAGTCATTCTCAAGCAGCCAAGTCTGGCATATATTTGGGGGAGACAACCTGAGAAAAATCCTTCTGTTTCCCACAGTAATCTTTTCTTTCTTATGCATTTATTAGCTGTTTTTTTCCTGTAAAGAAATACTTTCCATCACCAGCACTTTGGTTATGCTGGCGTACAAGTCGCATATGAGAAACAGTATAAAATGCTTGTTTCTTTCCTTGTTTTCAGAATAAATGAAATGCTTCGCTAACATTCTCCAAAGATGGCAAATGAGATGTTTTGTTTCATTTTAAGCACCAGTATGAACTCATGAATTTTAGCACATTTGCTGTATTTTACACCTAAGTGCTTACGTTGCTCCCCTTGGCCCACCCCACCCATGGTTGGTTCATGAGTCTCACTGATATAATCCTGATAGTCGCTAATCTCTGCGACCTCAAGGTACTGGAGACTCACCTTGAATGTCCTCCCATACACTGGGAATCAGAAGTGTCCTCCAGGATTCCTGCTTCCTCTGAAGGAACCGTGGTATTGAGATACTATGATCCAAGTGCTAGACATTTGAAAAAACAGATGTGATATTTAGAGATTGTCAAAAGTTCACAACTTTGGGGTTATTTTGGTGATTTCCCAAGATAATACTTTGTACTTAAATGATGTAAGAGTGGTGTGGTGTGGCTTCTGACCTCCTCTGTCTAAAAAGGGGAAGAAAGTCACTATCAGAATCCCACGGCTGACTTCAGACGTCATGTCTCCACGCTCCCAGCATTTTCACCAACTCTCACCCTTTTCACAGCATTCTCTACCTCTCTGCTGGGTTTGAGCATTGGTTGCAGTGGCCACCCAGAACTCACAGCTGAGTTTAATTAGGGAAGCAACAGGTTACCATTCAAATTCAGAAATGTTCAGGATGCAGTTGTTTGATCAGAACAGCCTCTTCTCACCTCTGCCTGCAGGCAAGCCTCTGCCCTCAGCCCCACATCTTGATGTCCTGCTTGGGCAAGTGTCCCAAAGCTCTTTAGCTCTGCTGATAAATGTCCAGAGGCTTCCTACTCTGTCAGACCTGCAGCCTCAGCTCCCTGTGATTTAGGGAACCAAGTTCCACCAAGTGCCTGGAGGCGCCCATCGGTCAGCAAGCCGCCTGGCCAGTGGTCTCAGCGTTGTCCTGGACACCCACCACTCTGTCTCTATTGGTCTCTTAGTTCTACTGCCTTTGCCGCTGCTGCCACCTTTGCCACTGCGGTGGCGGCTTCTTGGAGTCTCTTCACCATGTCTGGTGTCCCAGCTCTCTTTCTCCTGGGTTCTCAGCTTAGGGACCCAAAGGACATGCTCCACTCTCTCCCTAGGTGGTCATGAAATTCTCTTTCCTGGGTGCAAATTATAAACCTAATGGGATGGCAACACTGACCAATCCCCAAGTTTGGGTTACTTATACCTTATTAGCATAGTTCCATCCCACAAGGATGATTGACATGTCATTTACATTATTGGCAAGCTATCCTATCCTTCATTTGTGTGGTCCTACCCAGTCACTTGGTGAGGGTTACAAAGACTATGGCTAGAAGGGCCGTATTAAGTAATTAGCTGCACTACAGATAAATATAATTATAATATGGCTGTATGTGTCAAATACCAACTTGAAATAACTTATGCAAAAAGGAAATTCATTGTCTCAGACATTGGGAGGAGCAGGCGATTCGAGCCAGGCTTTGCTGCTGCTGCTTTGTTACAGACCATGAGTTGCAAGTGATGCCGATGGTGAATCTTTAAGATTCGGAGGAAACTTCCCCCATTCCCTTCCTAAATTGTTTCTAACTTGTCGACTGAAAATTTTAAATATGTATGAAAGCTGAGTCTTCCACAATTATCACGATGTGGCTGATCTTGACTCATCTATGCAGTTTCTCTCAAGCTTTTACTCTAGAAAAGTCCTTGAGATAACTTTCAGATCTCATGGAACCCTGAGTAAAAATAACTCTCTCTTCCGTTTATGGTACAAGGGAGGGTAATTTAAAAAGCACTGCTATAAAATCTTAGAAACCTTTATTAAACAAAAACATCCAAATGTGAAACTATTGTTTCTCACCATGTGTGACTGAGGGAACTTGCCCAGAGCCGTTACACAGACATCCATGCATGTGTGAACTGAAACCTTGGTAATAATACTTTTCTACTTACCCTAGTGTTGGTATGCTCAATAATTGGTAGATATAAAATCCAATAACGCCTGGTTTTTTTGTTATTTATATATATATGTCTTTTTAAATCATCTTATTGGGGGCTTGTACAACTTATCACAATCCATACATACATATTGTATGTCAAGCGTTTTTGTACATTTGTTGCCCTCATCATACCCAGAATATTTGCTTTCTACTTGAGCCCTTGGTATCAGCTCCTCATTTTTTTTTTTAGTGCATGTTTTTAATAAAGAATCATTTTTACCCCCAAGGATCTGAATCTTCTAGTCCACTTACTGGCAATTTTTTGGGTGTGTTTATTTGTTTGTTTTCTTGAAGGCTATCAACTCCATTGTAAGGCAGTAGTTTTAGTGCAGGAAACTTGAGTTACTTCATTTTCTTTTCCTTTTGTTTTCTAACTTTTATGTAGGCTAACAGTCTCACCATACTTTATTTTATAGGGTGGAAGTCACTTAGGAGTATCTTGAGGTGTGGCATATAGTATAAGATGGACACACAGAGGACCTCTGTTGCCTGGTCAGTGTAGCCAGATTATAGAAATCAGGTAGAATGACAAGATTCTAGGTTTGGTTTTCTCTAGCATAGAAGAGGAGTATGGTGAGCTGTGGCCCCTGATGACTGCCTCCCCTTCCTTTATGCTCCCAGCACACATACAGGCTGTCCAGCGTCGTTTTCAGAGAGCTGCAAATCTTGGAACGACAGGCACAAACTGGGAAAACACGTTTTGTTTTAACAAAGATTGTGTATTATTACAGAGCTTTGTATATCTAGAGCAGGGGTCCTCAAACTATGGCCTGCGGGCCATATGTGGCCAGCCGAGGACATTTATCCGGCTGGTGCAGGACTGGGCACTGTTTCCTTCTGTTGTGCACAGGGTCACTGTCGGTTGGAACTGACTCAGTGGCACCTATCCGCCAACAACAGATGGGGTAACACCATCAAGATCTGTTCACAAAACAAGCAGGAAGCAAGGGAGGGGGGTGAGTTTTTTATGTGCAGGTTATTCTACTTTGCACGGCAGCAGTTTGCTGAGCAGTTCTGACACAGTGGTCCAGATCGCCACTTCTTGCCCAAGACCTCTTTCTCTACACATAGCAGGGAGGAGTATTGTGTCTGTGTGATGGGTTAGATCAGTGGTTCTCAACCTTCCTAATGCTGCGACCCTTTCATACAGTTCCTCATGTGGTGGTGACCCCCCTGCAACCATAAAATTATTTTTGTTGCTACTTCATAACTGTAATTTTGCTAGTTAGGAATCAGGCGACCCCTGTGCAAGGGTCGTTCGACTCCCAAAGGCGTCGTGACCCACAGGTGGAGAACCGCTGGGTCTGATGGTATTAAGCTGCTACTCCTGATTTCTAACTCCTTTTAAAAATCCTACTGAAAGGATTCAAATTATATAGCTCCCTTCATCGCCCCTGGGGATCTCTGTTTTGGAGCCACCAGTGCCTAAAAAGACAGTTCCAGTCGTTCACAAAAAAACTAATCCTGCTAACTGTAACCTCCTCTCACTGCTTTTCCTCGCCAGCGAGTGCTGCAGAGAACTCCTGGACACGGTGGATAACTACGCAGTGCTCCAGCTGGACATAGTCTGGTGCTACTTCCGCTTGGAGCAACTGGAATGCCTTGATGATGCAGAAAAAAAATTAAACTTGGCCCAGAAATGCTTTAAAAATTGCTATGGAGAAAATCATCAGCGATTGGTCCACATAAAAGTATGCTCCTCTAATTTATGTTGTGTATTGTGTCCTCGTCTAGAAGGTGTTTTTACTCCTCTTAAAGGATTTAGACTGCTGTCAAATGGTGCTTTTTAAAAAGTATATGCACTGTGGTCTTTTAAAGCTGTATTTTCAAAGTGATGTCAGAATGCTTTACTAGTCTGGCTCTTGTTGCAGTCTGTGCACTGTCTAGTCCACAGCAGCGTTTCCTTGTACCAGGACTCCCATGGTGGATCCCCTCCACAAGGGGGAGCTGCTGACCTGCCGCTGCTCTGTAGAGTCTGATGGAAGACTTACGAATAGACAGCTTGACCAGTATCTGTTCACATGAGTGAGTCACAGCTTACGAGCTGTGATTGGAGGAAGGGTTTTTCTAAGGTGATTGCAAGAAGTCACTAGAATTCTGCTTGCATATTGCAGCAGCCTATGGTGGCTTGGGTGTTTGCACGCTTCCCCGGTGATGAGAGGGACCTGTCCCGAATGTGTGAGGACGGGCGTTCGGTTACAGGCACTTCTCTAGGTGGCGCAGGACCTCTCATTGTGCTCGGGATCCTCACTCTTGCCACGAATGACAGTGAATATATACAAATGTTAGGAAGACCTTTGCCTATGTGGAAGCAAAGGAACTTAGAATTGTAATTATTACAATACTGTAGTTTGAAATATGATCGTTCTCCTCTTTTTGCTATAATTTTAGGGAAATTGTGGCAAGGAGAAAGTACTGTTCTTAAGACTTTACTTGCTTCAGGGTATCCGACACTATCACAGTGGTAACGGTGAGGAGGCGAGCGAGTATCTCAACAAGGTAAGGGAAACGAACCCTCCACAGTTACCATTTCACCTGCTTTCATGTTCCGTTCCCAGAAGCTAAGTGTTTTTAGTCTTAGGAGTAGTTTGTGCCCCACTTGGTTCGCAACAAAGTATTTATTAAAAAGAAAGAAGAATAGTTGGGAGAAACAGGTCTCTCTCTCTCATCCTAGACCATAAGTATAAAAGGTACAGGAAAGATGCTTTTATAAAGAAACCTCAAAACTCGGCCACATTCATTGGTAAAAGTTATTTCTCTCCTCTCTGAAAGAGGTCAGCAGGCCAGTCTGCAGAGGGGGAGAGTCCTGGGCAGCCTCTTCAGAGAGAGGGCCCAGGAGCTGGACCTCCTCCTTCCCTGGGCCTGGACTTAGCCACCCTATTCAGTTGAAGGGGGTGATAGCTGGACAGCCAGATGCACAGGTCAAGTTCCAGGAGTTTTATTACAATAAAGAAGCAGCTAATGAATACCAGTCCCTTCCATAATCCCCTGCCTGTATTTTCATACTGTTATGTAATAGGAGTCCAGGTAGCATAGTGGTTACACCTTGGCCTGCGATCCACAAGGGCAGCAGTTTGAAAGCACCAGTCAGTCGCTCTGTCGCTTGCTTTCCGCCCCCGTAAAGAGTTACAGTCTCAGAAACTTGTTGGCATGGGAGTTATGTGAGGGCGGCCCAGCACGGGGCGGCCTGTCTGTTGTGCATAAGGTCGCGATCATTTGGAGCTGACCTGACTGCACTGAGCAGCAGCCAGGTTTAGAATTCTGGAGTTGGAGAGCGTCTGAGCTACTCTGCCATACCAGTGTTACAGTTCTGTGAGCACAGAGAGTATCATCTGCCTGCGTGTGCACTAGTTGATCATAGATCATCTTTAGAGTTTTTCTGTAACATCTGGCACACGGTAATTCACTTGGGTACAGTGGAAGTTCTCTCAGGCTTATTTTCAGCTCTGCGGGAAGGTTAACATTCCCTGTAGTGATACACCTCTTCCATTTTCTCCTTCTAGGCACGTCAGCTCTTCAAAGAGCTCTACATCGACCCATCAAAAGTTCACAACTTGCTGCAGCTGGGATTTACAGCGCAGGAAGCCCGGCTGGGCCTGAGAGCATGTGATGGTAATGTGGATCACGCAGCTACTCACATCACCAACCGCAGAGAGGTACTGGGACTGGCGGGGTGGGGACCCCTAGCCGAGTCTCAGCCTGCCTCGTGCTTTGAGTAGGTCATGCAGCTTGAGGCCGTTAGGTTTTGTTTTCTGAGATGACTTATCTTTCGGGGATATGCAAAAACAGAAAAAGATCATTTCTCTAGTAAGAAATAACAGGACTCTCAACCACTGTAGCATGGGAAGTCAGTCAGGAAAAGTTTGCCTGTTTTTTGGTATTGAACTTAGTGTAGAGAACTTAGTTTTATTTCCTGCTATGGTGGCAGGTAACTCATTGGTATGGTTGTGTACACAATCTTCTCTCTCTCTCTGAGAACCATTGTAAAGGGGCCTGTTTTTTTTATAAGAACATTGTTATAATTTAGGATTAAATTCTTGCCTAGAAACAGGAGTCAGATCAGAGGAGCAATTAGCATAATATGATGAAAGCAGAGGTATAAAATGTATGATCATTTCAAACAATTAGAAGCAACATTAAAAATCAGTAAAACTTAGAATTTTGGAGTTGGAAGGAGCAAACCCACCAGGCCTTTTTTACCATGAAGAAATGGAGGTCCCGAGAGAAAGGAGAAAGGTGGCATATTTAGAGGTGGAGCATCTCTCTCTCTCTCTCACATGGGTAAGAAGTTGGAACTAGCTTTTCTCACAGGTCTTATCTAGCTATAAACTCCAGCCATAGAAGTCTTGGATGTATTGTCAATTACATCATTTTATACTAAAGGAGATCAGCAGCCTGACGCGGTATCCGTAAGGGATAGGGTACTGGGTGGGCGGAGAGCATCCTAGAGCATCTTTGGTTTGCCCGGGCTATGTCAGTCCCCTTTCTCAGTCGAGTCTTCTGTCTCCTCTCCTGCATCATGTTCCCTTGCTGTATCAGTCGATGAGCAGGCAAAGGCAAAGACTTTGAAAAGAGAACGCTTGACAATCTCATGACTCCTTATGGGTGTGTAATGCTTCATAAGACATTATCACAATCATGCTGTTGCTCAGTGCTGCCTCTGGCGTCTGTGAGACCACTAGCACCAATAATTTTCATTTTGCAACGAGCGAAACCTGTGGCTCAGAGACAGACTTTTCTGGGATTATGAGTGAAAGACATAAAATCTGAATTAAAACTTGGGTTTTTCTTGTGCACTTTCCCTCTCCTACCTGAGAAGATTTGATTCATTGTTACAAATGGCTTTGAAAGGCCAAAGGAGATAATAAAGTGGTCAAAGTTGCCACTTCACTTCCAGAACTTTGGAAGGGAAAATTTTTATGTCAAAAGTGGAGTCAGATCCTACATAAAAAATAGTGCATATACTACAGCTGGGCTTGACCAGTGTTCTATCCAGTAGTTGCATGCTTTTGGTTGAAAGCAACAAACACCCAATTCGGACTGGCTTACAGCAAAAGGCAAGAAACTGTCAAGAAGTGGGTTTCGGTTTCAGGGTTGACTTGGCAGCTTACCAGTGGCGTGGAGCAGGTGGTTTCTGTCTCCTCTCTGCCCTATAGTCCCACTGCCATCTGGTCACACAGGTCAGGGACAGGCTGTGACCCAGACGCACCAGGGAGGAAGGCACTCACTGGCCAGGGTCACATTCCAGTCTGATGGGCCCAGCAGCCTGTGGCGAGGGAGAGGGGTCTGTATCGCACAGCCCACTGCGCATTCTGGAGCCATGGGTGAGGGTGGGACTAAGTAGTAGTTGGCAAGGCAGCCAAAGCTGCCAGCTCTGCGTTTGTTGGAGCATCATCTCACAGACCTGAGCACGCTGTGCCATCCAGAGTCATCTGGTGGGGAAAGTAAGCCTGCAGACGATGGTGCTGACAGACGGACATTTAGGATTCAATTCTTGCTCAAAAACAGGAGTCAGGTGAGAGGTGGTGCAGCAGCCTCGCGAAGAGGCTTCTTGGGCAGTTTCAGCCGTCCAGGCCACGAGCCCTGCCTGCCGGGCTTCGTTCTCCCTGGGGATAGGGCGTTCCTAGGGCCATCAGTTATTTCAGTGCCACACTCGGTCATTTGTTTGGTCGATGCTATTTTTCTCATTCCATCTTGAAGAGGAAAAGTACAGAATTGTCACCTCAGAATGTGTATCCGCATGGTTAAAGTGGACCTGGCAGAGCCAGCATTACTGTGGTGACTAAAGAAAAGGTGTTCTTTGAGGGCTCAGCTTCGTGTCAGATTTGCGTTGGGTCCTGCCTGACCCCTCTGCCTGCCAGGCTTGTTTCTTAGCCTTCTGGCAAGTGGAGGAAGCGGTGATGGACAGCAGAGCACGAGCCGGCGTCTTTTGTGGGGCCTCTGTTATACAGAGGCATACAGGTGAAAAGATGAGGGAGCACAGAGAAGGGTCATTGTGCCAGCTGCATGGAAAGGAGTACGGCAGGGTGTGGTTACAGTACAGGCAGGTTAGAGTGTAGAAGGCGCTAGGAAGGAGAAGTGAGTGTCAGAATCAGGGCGTGGAGTGGGATGATCTGGCCAGGAGGGTGAGATGGCAGATTCAGTGCATTATGCAGGAGACCAGGGTAGGAGAGGCTTGGGACCAAGGACTCAGTGGGGGAAAGGGTTGTTTGTAGCCCAGGTGAGATGAACTGGGCGGTTCTGAGGCCCTGGGCTCGTCCCTCTGGGCTTTTTCATTTTAAACAGGAAATTAAAGCTATGCTATTTTCATCCTGCAAGTGTTTGCAGCTGTCACTTGGTGGGCCGGGTCGCACCACTGGATCTCCAGCACATATCACCAGGGCCCCACCCACCTAGTCTCCATTTGAGCAAGATCTGAGGGAGTGGATGAGAGGCCCAGGAAGCCGCCTGCCTTCTCTTACCCTCCCCGCCAAGGTGCTCTTCCCTTCTCTGGCTGCAGTCAGTGACTGGGGCTTGCAGGGTTCCAAGTGACCGTGGGAATTTTGCCAGGCCCCTCTGTTCCCTAGATGGAAGTCTCTGGCTGCCCTGGTGGGCTCACGTGAGGCACGGTGGCAGCCACTCCATAGGAGGGAACAGATCCAGAAGGCTCATGCTTCTCCTGGTTTGTTCTTGGCTTTGCCGGGCAATCCTGGACTCCTCCAATGTGTCGGTGAGCAGGCTTCCTGTGAACTCTCCCTCAGTGTGACTTTGCTGTGCTCCTACAGGAATTGGCCCAGATACGGAAAGAAGAGAAGGAGAAGAAAAGACGCCGGCTGGAGGACATCAACTCTCTGAAAGACATGGGCTACTCCATACAGGCGGCCAGGCAGGCCCTTCGCCAGGCCGGCGGGGACATGGACATAGCCCTCAAGGTAAGCCCTGCCCCCCTGCTGCTTTTCTGTGTAGGACCCTTCTTGGGGCTCCCAAGACTGGCCCCCCTCTTCATTCCTGTGTTGAACCTAAGGATCTCTGTCCTCACTTCGAGGCTGGACACCAGCCAGAATCCCTAGCTCAGGACATGATATCCTGCCACAACTTGGTGGGGCCCACAGGCAAGGCTTCCCATCAGATTTCAGTTTGCAGCCAAAGTTGAATCGTAAATAAATCAGCCTAACTTCCATAGTGGAGGAAGAAGGGCATTAGCCTATACTTAAGTTTCTCCTGTGGGGAGAATAGGCATTAAAGTTTGAGTATTTTTAATAGTTCAGTTAAAATTTTAAGTCTACTGGACAAAGAAGCTTCTTTAAAATCCTTAGAAGTGGCCAGATTGTGGGGATCTAGAGTCGTTGTCATGTTCCCCGCACCCATGTCTACGTTTTGTTCCACAAGCATGTGCTGGGCTGAGTCTCAGCCGCTTGACGCAGAGACCGTCCACCCCGTGGAGACGTGCATACAGGCCAGAGCAGTCAGCCACACAGCTGAGTGTGAGCTGGGATGGTGGAGGAAGTCCTTCAGGACTAGGGGCTGAGTCTCGAGGCGTTAGCAAGGCAACAGTGAAGAGAAGGCAGATGCAGTAATCGGGCCGGAGAGTCGAGGGTGCTCGGAACGAGTGGCAGTACCTTCTTGTTTGCTCAGGATTTCACACGTTCTCCTGACCGTGTCTACCTCCACCCAATCTGCTCCTCACAAGTCAATGAACAGACTGGAACAGTTTTATTACATTAGCCAACAGAGCAGGTATTTTAGAGTGCTCACCTATTACATTCCCCACCCCCAAGACAGTTTTTCCTCCCTACGTGGTTAGGTGATTGTTACCCAAGGGCATAGTCTGCCTGAGAGCCCGCTCCTTCTGCTGTGCTGGTATGTAATGTCCTGTGTCCGCCATGACAGTGGCAGGTCAGATAGCCTCACTGCCTTTAGGATGCCCTGTGCCTCTGCTTCTCGGATATATTTTGTTAATGAACGTTTTTAATTTGAATCTCTAGTTTTGCTTCTTGTGTGGAAACAGTATCGGAAAAGTAGGAAATTCTGACTGTGGAGGGAAGGGTAGGGCTCAAAGCTGACGTTGAGCAGTACGAGTGTGGGACCTGCAGAAGGGCCTGCTGTCAGAGGTCCCCCCAGTATGGAAGTTTACTGCTGGCAAGGACAGTCCTCAAAACAGGTTCTTTAAAGTGAAGGGTGAGTATTGTGTGACAGATTGAGGCCAAGTGAAATGACCCACTGCCTGACATTGGAGAGCCCTGTCCCTTAGGGGAAGCATCAATAGGCCACCCTGCTCTGCTTTGCAATGCTCTTCATAGTGCTGACTCCTGGCCTAGGCACTGTTTTCTTGGACGACTTCTTCCCGCTGCCTCAGGAGAAGCGGCCCTTGTTTTACCTTTTGCAGAAAGCCTTTTGAGCAGTAGCCTCCATGGTACAGGGTCCCCTTTGCAGAGGCCCTGTAAGGGAAGGCTTGTCCTACTCCTTGACCAAGCACAAGGTCTGTGTCTGCCTAGCCTCTGCGATCGTAAATGATGTTCTGTTTTCAGATTCTTGTCAGTAATCCCCAGATGTGGTTAAACGATTCAGATCCTGAAACCAACAGCCCTCGGGAAAGCCCTTCTGAGGAAAACATTAACCAAGTAAGTAGGCGTGCCCTGCTGGGCTACATGGGGTGATGAGGTCAGTGGGTGGTGTGGCCCTGGGGACTTCCTTGGAAAGCTGAGGGTTGGGAGTGTTTTCCTCCCACTTATGCACAGCATTGTGACAGCAGCTGGCTTTTCTAATAGCCCCACTTCTCTGCCTGTGACCGTACGGAAGGTCGTTCTGGAACACTGTCCAACTCTGTGCCCCGATTCAGTGTCCACTCTCCTCCCACACAGCCACAACCAGTACTTGTGGCAACTTCTAGACTGGTGCTAGTAGCTAGGGTTCACTAACAGTTTTCTCTCAGCCCCTATGGTTGGTTCCTCTGCGTAAAATGATCCTTTTGGGAGCCTTTTCCCATAGCTTCCCACCATCTGGGTGCTGGAAGGGCAGGGTGTGCATGGAACCAAGCAGGCCTAGCTGTCCCTAGGAATGGCAGGAGTGCTATTCCCAGGACCAGAGGCCAGGGCTGAGGCGGGCCCCTCTCTGTGCCCCGTTAGCTGATGTACATGGGCTTTGAGGCGGTGGTTGCTGAAGCCGCGCTGAGAGTGTTCCGGGGAAACGTGCAGCTGGCAGCACAGACCCTGGCGCACAATGGAGGCACTCTTCCCCCGGACCTGCAGCTCTCAGCAGAAGATTCCTCCTCGACGCCGTCCACATCGCCTTCCGGGTCTGCAGGTGGGTCTGGGGTCTCTGAGTACTGTGCAGGGTGGGGTGTTCCTGGGAAGTCAGACTGACCTACACACCAGCAAGGGGTCTCAGCCGCATCGGCTCTGCAGGCCTGGGTGGGCCCGACGGCAGTCAGTCATTCTGTGGATTCCTTACCCAAGTCTTGTGATGCGTTCCTGCAGGTACTTCTAGTGCCTCAACAGATGAAGACATGGAGACGGAGGCAGTCAATGAAATACTGGAAGACATTCCAGAACATGAAGAGGATTATCTTGACTCAACTCTGGAAGATGAGGAGATTATTATTGCAGAGTACTTATCCTATGTAGAAAATATAAAGTCTGCCGCAAAGAAAAACTAAATATTGAATAGAAATAAGTATTACATTTTGGCTTATAAATTCTGTCATAACGAACAGTCTAAATAGGCTTTCTTTTTCTTTTTTAATCTGATTTTGCAAGAGTTATTCCTGTTTGGAGGTGGGGCATGCAGGGAATCGGAAGTCTAGCTGTGGGGAGACCGCTTCCTCCGGCCTGACTCTCGCCAGCCCTTCTCCCTTTGTGCCTTCTCACCTAGAAAGGGGTTGAGGCTGGAGGCCAGAGTGGTCCCTGGGAAAGGTCTCCAGAAACGGAAGGCATGCTATGGCCCCGGGACCCTGCTGCTGTCCCTTCCCATGCTTCGTCTTTGTTGTCCAGGGTGCTCACCACCCTGTTTCTAAAACTGTTTTGAGTCTTCAACCACTCCAGCCACTTGAAACACCAATGTTTTATGCTTAGTTATAATAAAATATGCACTTAAAATTAAAGGTTGAAATCCGGAATTTGTACGTATTCAAAATTCCTGTTTATAAAACGATCTCTTCTGGAAATGGGAACATCATTGATGTAAGCCGCGTCAGCTTCCTCTTTGGGGACGCGGGCTGGGCAGGCCTTTAATCTTTCAGGAGGGCGGACCTTGTTTGGTTGACTGATAATAACTTACCGTGTTGTTGAAGGTTCATATTGCAGTTAGGGTTCCCATACAACAATTTGTACACACATTGCCCCATCACATTCTTTAAAAGAATGACTGGAAATGAGCAGAATTGTGACTTCACAGTAGACACTACCAGGGATTCCGAGCTATGGATTTTCTCTGGAGTCTGTTTGATGTGGGGTATGGCTATTTTACAGAAGACTACTTCTACGGGTTTAGTTAGCCTTTTAGGGCACATTCCAGGGTTCTCAGTGCCAAACGCCTGCTCTAGCAGATGCTTGGGAAGTGGTCCTCAACTCCAGCCCCCAGGCCATGCTGCCAGCAGCCCATTCATGAATGACTTGGAGAGCTAGGTGTGGACCTGCCCACCTTCCACAAGGCCAGGGAAGGAAGTGGCTGGGGCTGAGGGCATAGTGTCAGAAAGGCTGAAAGAATTCAGCTTACACTTACCTGGCAGGGGAGACACCATGATCACGAAGGTGGTTTTCCCAGGGTGAGGCTTATCCATGGCACTCCGGATCTGCTGACCCCTGCGATTTCCCCAAATGTGGGAAACTCGACTGCATGATTTGTAGTAGTGGGGGACTGTGTTCGCGCTCTTCCCCTTAAAAAAAAAAAAAAAAATTCAGCTTCTTCCCTAAAAAAAGCTCACCTAGCTAAAGCATTTTTTGTTGTTGAGAATATACACATAGCGAGTTAGTGACCCAGATCACATCCTTGGAGTGGTGCAACCATTCCCAACCTCCCTGTCTGGGTTCTTCCTCTCCAGCAGACACCCACTGCCCCCAGTTCGTATCTAACCCTTTGAGTTGCCTTGCCAGTTTGGTCCCATAGAGATAGGCCTTAAAAGAGCACAGGGCCCAACGTAGACATTCTTTTCTAGTTGTGCTAAATCATGACTCGCTTTTAAGACTTCAAAGAATGCTTTTGGTTTAAGGCTTAAAGGTTTCACAGGGCAATCGTTAGGTCCATTCCAGCCTCGGTGGCTCCAAAAGTTTCAAATGAGAATTTGAAAATCTGTTCTGGATTTCCTCCCTTTTGGTTGGGATGATTCTTCTATAAAATCTTTGATCAAAATGTTGGGTCACATCCCACCCAGTTCTGGCCTCGTGGGGGAGGCAGTCGTTCTTGGAGGCAACTGTACATCCATTTCCTCCTGTTGGCGGCTCCCTTTCCCCTGTTGTCCAGGCACACAGAGACCAATTGTACCTTGGGTGGCTAGCTGCCTGCAAACTCTTAAAATACACTTTTTAAACTTTTTGTTCATGACTTGGTTGTGTACGTATCTGATCATTCTTGAATTCAACAACCTATCAAGCCCCTCCCCAATGGGCTTACCCTCTCCTACCATCCCCTCTTTTTTTGCATGTTCCCCTCTTGTATGCTGTTGTCTCCCCCTTCACCCGTTAACACGTTACTCCTCCTTCCCACCCCCCACCCATCAGAGCCTGTTTCTTGTGGCACGAAAAACTGTTCTTGACTTTTTTTTAGATTTCCCCCCCCCAACCGTGGTCTCATTATACTATTTGTCTTTTTGTGATTAAGTAACTTCTCAGCACAACATCCTCTAAATCCATCCACGCCATGAGGTGTTAGTTTTCATCACATTCTTTATCAATGTATGTGTATGTGTGGGTTTAGCCCTTCTCCCACCCATGGCGTTTGGGTTGTTTCCCTCTTCTCACTTGCACCCAACTTGAAGGTAGACCAGAACACTAAACATATTATTAGAGAAGTTAATCGTGGCATCTTGGGAAATCATGGCCCTGAACCTCCAAACTAAGGAACCAAATCCCAGGAGGTATTTGTACATAAACAGCTTCTGCAGTTACTCAGAGTTTTTTTGTCTGTTGGGGGCCAGGGGTGGAGGGAGGGGGCTGAGGGGAATGTCAAATATATCTCACAACTTTGGGCAATTCTGTGTTTTACAGGTGTCTAGTTTTCTTGATGGGCTATTACAATAATAGGCTATGCAGCTCTCTCTTTAATGAAATTTTTCCATCACTAATTCAAAACTCACTACTTCATATGCAATTACACCCTCCTCGCCTTTCCCTCCCCTTGTTAATCACATTTTATTTTTCTTGTCTTTATTATATTGATATACAATATTTGTACTTTTGTGATCAACTTACTTCACTCTGTAATGTAATGTAACGTGCCATCTGTACTGTGCCATGTATAAACACTTCATTTTCTCGACTGGCTGAGTAGCAGTTCATTATTGATATGGACCACATTGCTTTCCGGTAGACCATTTCACTGGGGGCTCCTAGGACTCTCAGGACAACCCATACATCAGTTGTATCAGGCATATTTGCCCATTGGGGCATGCTGTTTGTCTCGCCATCTCGGCAGACGTGGTGGCTCTTGGGACAGTGCTGGGATGAACATGGCTGTTGGAGCTTCTGCTTTCAAGGCTTTCGGGGTCTGCACTTAGGAGTGGAAGTGTGGGGTCCCTAGTGGCATGGTGGTTGGGCTACTCTTTCTTTTTTTAACTTTTTGTGGTCTTTCTGTTAGTAGCACTAGATAACCAAGACTGAATTTGGCACCAGTAGAGTGAGTTGCTTCTATAACAAGTACCTAAACTGTAGAAGTAGTTTTGGAATGGGTATTTGGAGGAGGCTAGACGAGTTCCAAAAGCTTCCCCACCAAAAATCCCAACTCACTGCCATCAACTCCAAGCCAACCCATAGCGACCCTGCACGTCAGGGGGAAACTACCCGATGAGTTTCTGAAACTTAGAGAGGAGAAAGCCCCTTCTCTGGAGGAGGAGGGACTGGTGGTTTTGAACTGCCGACCTTATGGAGCACAGCCTAAAACGTAACCATCATACTACCAGGGCTCTAAGTAAACACCTAGAGGCCCTTAAACAGTCTGCTGGTAAAATTTGGATGTCAGAGGCAGTTTTGGTGAGGGCTCGAGGGGAAAAATTGAAAGCATCTCCCTAGAGCAGCTGTTCTCAACCTGGGGTCACAACCCCTTTGGGGGTCGAATGACCCTTTCACGGGTCACTTGATTCATAACAGTAGCAAAATGATAATGATGAAGTAGAAACGAAAATCATGTTATGGTTGGGGGGGTCATCACCACATGAGGACCTGTATGAAAGGGTCACGGCATTGGGAAGGTGGAGAACCACTGGCCTAGATAAAACACGCACCAGCAGCCGACCGACCGAGTTAGGGATCACATGGTGCATCGCATGGGGTCAGTCTGCAGAAAAGACCAAACTCCCTGCCCTTGAGTCAGTTCGATTGACAGCGGCCCCAGAGGACAGAGTAGAACTGTTGTGAATTCCTGAGACTAACTCTTCGTGGGAGTAGAAAGCCACCTCCTCCTTTCTCCCATCGAGTGGCTGACGGTTTCTAACTGCTGACCTTGGTGTTGAGAAGTGAGGATGTTGCTCTGAGGACGAAGTTGGGCCTGACCCAAGCCATGGTGTTTTCATTCACCTCATATGCATGGGAAAGGGGCCACTGAAGAAGAATGTGCTGCATTTGAATTAGGGTGCTAGCGAGGAGTACTGAAAGTACCGTGGACTGCCAAAATCTGTCTTGAAGAAATACAGCCAAAATGCTCCTGAGAGACAGGATGGGCAATTTCATCTCATGTACTGAAGAAGGCACCATGTTTGGTAAAGGAGACGGGCAGCGAACAAGAGGAGGAACCTGGACAAGGTAATGGATTGACACAGTGGGTGTGACAGTGGGCTCAGTCAACAAGTGTTGAGAGTGGGCAGGACCAGGCCCTGTTTCGTTCGAGTCTCTGAGTCGGAGCGGACTCAATGGCACAAACAACAATAAATGTACTTCTGGTGAGGCTTCAAAAGGAAACGATGGACATGAGATTGGACAATGTCGGAAGGTGGGTGCTTTTTTTCCATGCAGTGGAAAAGAACTCCCTTAAATGATGTTCAAATGTTTGGTAGAGAAGGTAGAACTTCTAGGTATGAACTTGAGTATTTGGCAAGGGGACTTCTAAACCAAGTCTAAAAGGGATGTGTAGTTAGTTTCCCCTGCCCCTTCTAGTAAAATATGAGGAAAGAGACCTAAATGGAGCAAACAAATGAAGCCAAAACTTAAAGATTTGGAAATACTGTGTGTTGGATTAAACACAGGTCCTAGAATTTACACCAAAGATTTGGCGACACAGTCTCTTGTTAAGGAAGTTAAGCCTGTGACAGGGGTGGGTGTGGGTGTTTAAGCAACTATCATAGCAAAAAATCCTTAACTTTAGAGTGTAAGGGACAAAAAAAAGGTAGAAATGAAAATTACTGCCTGCCTCTTAGAAGTCTAGAGGCAGGAACCAGGCCCCCAAACTACCATCTCTGGAGAAACTTGGAGATCAGCAAAACTGTTGGAAGGAGCACAGGGCCTTCTTGGTTTCAAAGGGTGGGCCCATGGTCTGGTCTTCTGACTCGCAAAAAGTGGGACCCCAGCCCCCTAGATCTTAGAGAGTTGGATCTTTGCCGACTTACTTCCAGAATGTGGGGCTCCCAGGAAGGCATAGCGGGAGATAGAGCCCAAAGATAAAGAACCGGAGTCACCATGGCCAAGGAGCAGCTGCAAAGTGCATAGGCCCTGAGTAGGTGGGATCACCACGCTGCTGGACTTGGAGAACAGGGCTGCCCTAAGCTGAAGGAACAGAGTTGCTGTCCCAGTGGGTCTGAAAGCGGAACTGATGCCTAGGACCAAGGCGCCCCCATCCCAAACCCAGAGTCTGGGGCCAAAATGCTCACTGCCATCGACCTGATGCTGCCTCAGAGAGACCTATGGGACACAGTAGAATTGCCCCTGTGAGTTTCTGTTAATAGTGCCCTGCAACTAT